CGTGTGCTGCATAAAATACTGACTTATCAGCTGCAGGGAGCCGCCTATCAACAGGTCAGTGGGTAGCTGCGCGCCAGCTTTCCTCCCTCTTGACCCACAGCTAACTTTAAATGCTTTCTCTGCTGACTGTCTAAATTACTGTTGAAATAGAGGGCATGTGCGTTTAACCAATTAGTTGTGAGTGCCACAAGGTTCTGTTCTTGGTCCACTTTAAATTAATAATAGGTGTGCAACAAGGTTCTGTTCTTTGACAACCTTTATATAATTACAGGTGTTTCACAAGGTTCTGTTCTTGATCAACGTTTGATATAATTTCAGATGTTCAACAAGTTTCTATTCTTGGTCCACAGTTGATAGATGTATACATATACACAGTAGATTGTACCTTTAAAATTTACAATTTGCCAAACAAATGAATTACACTGCATCCGACACTCTTCGGGCGCTGGAAGCGCAGTACTTATCAAGCACTTCTGCCCAGTGGTTAACTGCCAGCTCTTGATCCACGGCCAGCTGGGTGCTTTCTCTGCTGACTGCCCAAGCTCCCAACAGCTCGATTTCTATCGATTCAATTGATCCCTAAGGCACTTAGCCTTCTCCACACTGATTGTGCGGGGAATACACTAGTCTAGAAGCTCGGTATACTTGGCTTTCTTCCACGCATATGCCGTGTCGCACCTTGACTCCCATGGGACAGTGAGATCTATTGGCACCAGTTTCTTGTCTTTAGCATACTATATCACAATGGCTGCCCTCTGTGTGGTCTGGACAATCTCTTGGAAGACCAACATCTTTCCTTAGTCGTCCCTTTTCTCCAACTAATCTTGCCTTCTAAACCTTGCACTCTTCCACAACTGAGGACATTGGGAGTTGTAACTGTTGGTTCTTCCATAGAGACATATACTGGTGAAGATATCTGTTGATGGTTCTTTCAAGGCCTTCCACATGTACAGTAGAAATTGGTATATCATATAACATGAAGGGCAACATGAGTCTTGATAACAGTCCATGTTCAAATCGTCATGCCTTAAATTTGCCAGGGAGATATGTTTGATCTATTGCTTCAGACCTTCTTGGAGTTGGTTCTTGATGCGTCATTCAGGCTGGCATCATACCATTTGCCCGGGCACTTTGTTATAGGATTGTCTACTATATATTGCATGTCCTCTCCCTGCACCTGGAGGTTGAATCTTTGTGTGACATTCCCCTTGATTACCAGACTCCTCGACTTCTTTGGTTTGAACTTCATTTTTGCCCATGTGTCACTGTCTCACTCAAAGAACTTGCACATGTGCCGTTGGAGTTATGGTCAGGTCATATACATGTATGAAACCGCTGTTAGAAGGAAGGTATACCCCTGAGGGTGTCTTTGGTCCTCTGGTTTCCCTCTTTGCTACATTGATTATCAAGCCCATCCCCATCACAAATAACACAACTGAAATAGTAACTGAAAAGCTCCTGCCATAGTGTTAACCGTTCACCAAAAGCAAACCGCAGTTGAATCCTACTGTTGGAGTAGCAATTGATGATCCATTGAAAAGTATATGGGCTGTGGTAGTGCTTCAGTGCGGTTTCGATAAGCTTGTGTGGTAAAGAACCATATGCGTTGGCGAGGTATAGCCAGACAACTGTGATGTCGTTGTGATTTACCTAAGCTTCTCTGATGATGATCTGATGGCACTTGTGTGTTCCACGCATCCCAAGAAACCTGGTACTCCTTTCTGCATTGAGGTGTCAATATACTGGTTTGATATCAGGTAAGTTGTCATTTGTTTGGCCAGCATAACAAAGAATATTTTCCCCTCCACGCCGGGTAAGAGATGGTTCTGAATTGTGTTCTTTGAACCCCTTTACTTTGGTGTAAATATTTCCTCTTTCTATTGCCAACAATCTGGTACATTGACTTTCCACGAAAACACGTTCAAGATATTCTAAAGTTGTCGTAGAAGCTTTGGACATATCTTATATATACCTTATAGGCAGTTATAAGCAATCATCTTGTAGTTACCCAATGGTATGTCGCGGACATATATAATCAGAGTGCATTTCCATCACAAATTGAGTGATTTATTCAATACTGCTATCTCTCTTGCCTGATTTATCTTTATCAATCAGATTTTTGGAGAACTTGAATGGATTTGATATGAACTCTGCTCGACGCTGGTCTCTTTTCTTGCTCTTGTCACGCAGCTGCTCTGCCTTGCGAAGGCTTATAAGTTGTGACTTCTCCTCTTCCCTGGCCTCTCTATATCTCTATAAGACCTTCAGAACACAACTGATGTCCTTGATCTGCCGCTGCCTTCTGTCTGACTGATCAGTTGTTTTTGGAGTTTTCTGAAGGATCTGTCCAAATCTTTCTATCCCGACGGTGTAAACGTCTTGTTTAGGATTCCAGTTTTCGTTCAGCGGCACCTTGAAGTATTGTCTCAAGTATTTGATGACGGTATTCGTCTTTATCTTTCCTTGCTTTCTTGTCTGCAGTCTTGGGACAGAATAGTCTTGGCTTCCTTGGCATTCCATCCGCCTTGTGACCTGCTGTTAGATGGCGGGCAGTAAGTCCGAGTTTCCACTCTGCGTTTTTAATAACGCCGATTGTGGTTCGTCGTCATCAAATACTTCTCCTTGTACCTCCATATCTGACTGATGTGTGTTGGTACGAAGCCTCTCAGTCGCTGAGAGGTCCCCAGCACAGAAGGTTTGTTCTTTACTAGGATCCTCCATCGTTTCACCAGATATAAAACCTGAGCGCTGCTGCTAACTTGCCGTGCCGTGCGCCCATACACAGTTTTTGCTTGATGGATGTGCAAGCCCCAAAGGTTCTTGCAGACTTTACCGCACCTACAATTCGTTTCTGTTTTGATTCCAGTCAAAGTCGATTGAACAAGCACTGTCGTTACCGTTTTATTCGTCCTAATGAGTTTTTCATCTAGGAAGACTCCGAGGGTATTCATCTGTAATGGAGTCTGTAGCTGAATAATGGGTGTCCTTTCAGGAAGGCTGCAATCTGGAATGCTACATCTTCTTGCCTCTGTTCAGTCTGTTTTAAATATGATGTGTCCTAGCAGGTGCGACTCATTTCGTGAACAGTTAATGTATTTATTTATTTTCTTATGAGGGGAAATGGACCCAGATAAGAGTTATTTTGAATAATAAGTGATCAGTATACAATAATTAATGGATTTGATACACTTTTCATGTTTTCACACATTGAGTTGTTTAAAATGGGTTCCAATGTACCGAGGACTAAAGATTCGTCATAGAAGACTGTTAGAGATATGTACACGTGTGTATTGTTAAAGAGTGCAGATCTCAATAGTTTCCATGTTATGACCCTGGGACAAATCCATACAGGTGGGGCCAGACGATAGAGCTATGCTCCACAGATTATGTCTCTGTGGCCAGATGAGGGCCCCGAAACAATCATGGTATAGTGTAAATGTCATTTTTTATTCCTGACTTGCAATATAATATACATTTATGGGCTGGAGATCTTGAGAGTTTCCATGTTATGATTCAGTTACAAAGTCCCCAGGGTCAGGGTCGGACCTGAAGGGGAGACGATTCTTATAAGTTATGCTATTAGTCTCTTCACGCCTTACAACAATATTTAGAGGATCTCAACCACATTTAGATGATTTCCACTTTTATTGCCACAACCCTAAGCCCCACCATTTGTACAAATATGAAGCAAGCCACCTTTGCTTCCAACCAAACAGTCAATATCCATCTCATAGTTCCAGAGGAGAAGTTACTTAAATATCCCAGCTCTGATCCTAGGGTCAGACCCTCTATTTGAATAAGTTTGATTTCCCCACCACTTAAACTTATTTTCCAGTCAGTGTTTCAGAAAAGGAAGTTGCTTGAAGAAATTGTTAATGAAAAAAAGATCAAATAATAGATTGATGTTGTGGTACTGCATATAAGCTCATGTTGGTCCTTCAGGTGAGCTAAAAACATCTGACTTGAGAGCAAAGACTACTGCTACAATTGTATACATGTATTGCAAATTGTAGTAGCTATATAGTCTTACTGAGGTGTATTGAAGCACTTAAAATGTCGAAATTAGTTATTGCTGAAAATCTGTCAAATTTAACTTATATATTGAAGTTCGTGCTTCTGTGTATAGTGCTCTTATATGCAGTGATTTTGACCACTTTGGTATCCTGTTACCAACCAGAACTGAGAAGCCCTTCTTCATACGTGTACACAAGGATACACATACATGTATATATATATATACAACCAAACCAAGTTTGCCAAAGGTCAAGTTTTTCATATTACTATACGCCAGTTTCCCATTGTATTCTATGTTATACATGTATTTGATCAGTTTTATTTTATACACAAACAATGTATGTATTAAACGTGTTGCAATGTTTCAAGACTGACTTGGTCCTTTTGTTAAGCTATTTAATCTTTTCATAAAATGTAGTATTGTGTTGTAGAATTATCAAGTGTTGCTTGTGTTATTATTTCTATAAATATATGTGCCTCGAGCTCTGATGCTGTGATATCACTTTTCATCCGTGCATGAAAATTATATTAAGACATTGTTCCCGCAGAAACAATGTTAAACTTTGCTTTAAAAGTTGTTTTGGCCAGTCAACTCATCATGGTAGGAATTCTATGAAATGGAAAAAAATATCGTCAGCAGAACCACTAAATAATTATCTCCCTTTTTGCCAACTTTCATCAATTTTTAAATGAAAGGGAAGTCATAAAAAGAAATTTCCCCCCCCAAAAAATAATAACAATTTACATAGAAATTAATGGGATGTAACATGAAAGACTTTTGACGTCTGACTGTATATGCAATGCACATGATGTAGCTAGTATGGGTGCTTGTTTGTAAGCAGTACAGTTGGTATAAAGCAGTGCGAACTCCCAAATCCATCTTCTTTAATGTAGTTAATTCTGCACCAACACACACAATAAATTAGCCTTTGTAAGACTTATGTACTAAAACTTGTATACACTATACAAATAAATAAAAAAATCTCCTTAGAATGTTTTAATCCAACTCCTACATAAAAATAATTTTCACATCCTTGATACAATGTATATACATGTACAATGTATATAAATCAAACAAATTGCCCTCTCATACAACTTCATCCATCTACTCTACTGAACTATCATACATGGAGATCACAGTGAGTCTTCAGTACCTGTATCAAGAATTCTAGTGACAAAATCATGGTTTAAGGAAATCAATTTTCAGCTACAAACCTCCATGGTCTCTTACTGCTCCACCATCAGAATGAATCATTGATCACCACACCGGCTGTATATCTTTATGTAACTGGTCACAGACCTGAAGCTATTCAACATACTCAGTAATACAGCAGGATACATATAATTCAAATGTCATTTGTCTTTTTCTTTTCAGGAAACAAGCAGTCTGCAATTAGTAACTGCAGTACTTTTCAAGATAAACACAGAATAAATTCCTGAGGAGAATAAGTTTTCTAGTTTTCATGTAGTACATGGAATAACAATCTTCTGCTGTACACTGCATGTCTTGGTGTGAACCAGTACCATTGTATTAAGGAACAGGTGCCACTGTGAACACAATGGTTGGTTCCCCACTTCATACCATATGAGTTAAAGGCCTATCAGTCTCTCCATCTATGACCACACTTCATGTTACAGCACTTATAAAATGTTGTCATTGGTTCGTCTGCTGACCGAGTCTGTATCTGCATAAAGAATGCTCTGCCATGTGCACATGTTGGACAGGTTTCTGGAAAAAAAACCAAAGATTAAGCTCTACTGTAGAACTACTAAATTCAATTATACATTTAAGTTCATTTATTTTGTTGTTAGTGCAATGGCAACAGAAATTAAAGTAAACACTAAATTCTAACACAAAAATATGACTTTTAATTATTAATATAGTTGTATGAATAGCACAATCAATATTAAGTTTTTAAACAAGAGTGATTCATTTTCATCCAAGTCGAGTGCATTCTCTTGTACATATTGCAAAATGACATTACAGGGTTGACATCTAGTTCAACAGCTGTACTATTTTACCACACTTTTTTCACTTTATTTTTGACACATGCATTATAACATAAAGGTATAATGCACTTTTTCAAGATTACAATTGTCGATCGTCACAACAAAATTTTCCGCACACAAACATGTCAGGTTGATCTCTAGTCACCACTCTAGAATTTTGAGGGTCCTCAGGTCCCCCGGGTTCTAATCCCATTCTGGCCTAGTCCGCTAAAACTGACCACAGTCTCCAAAACTCTGATCGGTCGACTGTTTAAAGTCAGCTATTGACTGTTCTATAGTTCAAAAATCTGGCAGAAGATTAATTTCTCACTCACTTGAACAGATGTCATGTATGTCACTTATAAGATACATTAATGCATCTTCGCTAGCCAAGTGTTCGTATACGAAGCGAACACTTGGCTAGCGAAGATGACATTAAGGACGCTCCATCGTTTTAGTCAATCTATCGCAAGCTTACCCCTGCTACAGAGTTTAACTATCACATTAAAAATTCTAGTGAATCAATTATAATTGGTTTTACATCCAACTAAAATTACCTGCTGTGTTATCCACATTTTCCCAGGCTGCTGCACCGCCCAACACATCGTCCACTTCTTTCAGCTTAGGATATTTTCTGTTACTAATCTAGTTTCCAAATAGATCACGATTAAAAGGTAATTTTCAATTATTACTGCAAACAAGTAACAAATCAAATCATAATCATACATTTGCAAATATAAAGGAAAGTAACGTAAAAGTTTTGTTTGTGTACATATATATATACAGCAAATACTTTTAATTTAATAAAATTCGATCAGAAATAGTTTAATGGTAGCAAAAATAAATTTTGCGCAATAACAGAGTCATGTCTGGTCTGTTCTGCATAAAAATGATGCAATACGGAACAGTAGGTCTAATCAGAGACGTAGTATACGTCTTTGGTCTAATAGAAATCTTATAATTTAATTAGAATCTTCTAAATTTGACATATGTCTGTTTTCACATTTAATATTGACTTACTTACCTTTCGCTTTATGTTCTGTATATAAGGACAAGTGTTACACGCGAACCTGTAACATCTCTCCCCCTCCTCAACAACTAAAACATTAGAACATGTGGGACAGAACATCAACATTTTCGCCACATCAATAACCGGAAGTCCGTCTATTTGACGCTTAATTCATCGTGACCATTGTAGCGTTTGAATCGGAAGTATTTGCCAGTATACCCGATTTCAAATGGCGGTGTGTAATCACGGACTTAGATAACCTAATTCCGTGGTAACTGTCAGGGTTTAGTTGCAACGAAATTTTAAAGATCAAATAATCTTTAAGGTAAAACAATGTATTGATATTTGTATACAGAACATTTAAGTTGCTATGGGTCATGACCAGTAAATGTATTATTTACAAGTCAATGAGAAATATACATTGTACCAGAGACGTTTAGCTTTATGTCTCTGATTGTACGTACAGTGCTAGCCCCTGTGGTATGTAGTGCCTGTACGTCACAGATGCTCGGATTCTGGAATATATGTGATATATTATCGCACTCCACTAGATATCGCACCCCTCATACGTATACAAATTCATCACCCCTAGATATCGCACCCCCTTATACTAATAAATCAGATGATTTAAAGGGAGTGCGATATCTAGTGGGGTGCGATAATATATCACATATATTCCAGAACCCAATTAAGCATTATGATTTATTAGTATAAGCTAGGGGGTGCGATAATATTGTAAAAGATGTGGATCGATAATTGCCTTACAAGCGTCAGCTGTAGGGAATTTCCCTTTTATTAGCTCAGTGTTGTAAATAGTGTTACTAGGGCTGAAGACTTGCAAACAGGAGGGAGGAATGAAGCATAACTGGACTGGGTCGTTCACCGTTGACTCCATCGATAGATCTTCCATCTAGAGTAAAGGGTCCTGGGTTCGAATCCCAGTCCGGCCATGCATTTCTTTGCTCCTGTTACATATGTATAAATTATTTAAGTCTGTGATTAACTCTTCAAATGTCAATATACAAAAACAAAGGTTTAATAGAAAATTAACATTCTCTTTGATTTGTGATTCAATTTCATTGTGAAAATCATATTAGTGAAAACAGTTAAAATATCATGCTGGCAATCTTGTCTTGTTTTAGAACCCGATCCTAGTGCGGAAGTTGAGTCATGGATTCTACAGAGAACAATGTGATATCCAAGAGTGATGATCATAGCCACTGTGAGACAGAACAGGATGTGGAGTCCAATGTGGAGACGGCCATAGTCCCAGCATCATCCCAAGCTATAGTTCCCTCCAGTGATCAGTCTCTGAGTCATGTAGAAGCCATGTCTCAAGTACAGGCAGTGATGGCCCATCTTATAACAGTAAGTTTACCAGGGGGTTGAGGGTCCATTCCAAGTACATGAGTGACGGCCAATATTATAACAGTAAGTTTACCAGGGGGTTGAGCGTCCATTCCAAGTACAGGAGTGATGGCCCATCTTATAACAGTAAGTTTACCAGGGGTTGAGGGTCCATTCCAAGTACAGGAGTGACTGCCAATCTTATAACAGTAAGTTTACCAGGGGGTTGAGCGTCCATTCCAAGTACAGTAGTGATGGCCCATCTTATAAAAGTAAGTTTACCTGGGGGTTGAGGGTCCATTCCAAGTACATGAGTGACGGCCAATATTATAACAGTAAGTTTACCTGGGGGTTGAGGGTCCATTCCAAGTACATGAGTGACGGCCAATATTATAACAGTAAGTTTACCTGTGGGTTGAGGGTACATTCCAAGTACAGGAAGTGATGGCCAATCTCCTAACACTAACTACATGAAACTCCCTCTTTGTGTATGGATAGTGATGATCACAGTAAGTTTACCTGTGGGTTGAGGGTACATTCCAAGTACAGGAAGTGATGGCCAATATCATAACAGTAAGTTTACCTAGGGGTTGTGGGTCCATTCCAAGTCCAGGAGTGATGGCCAGTATTATAACAGTAAGGTTACCTGGGGGTTGAGGGCCCATTCCAAGTACAGGAAGTGATGGCCAATCTCCTAACACTAACTACATGTAAGTCCCTCTTTGTGTATGGATAGTGATGATCACAGTAAGTTTACCTGTGGGTTGAGGGTACATTCCAAGTACAGGAAGTGATGGCCAATATCATAACAGTAAGTTTACCTAGGGGTTGTGGGTCCATTCCAAGTCCAGGAGTGACTGCCCATCTTCTAACAGTAAGTTTACCTCGGGGATGATGGTCCATTCCAAGTGCAGGAGTGATTGCCAATCTTATAATAGTAAGTTTACCAGGGGGTTGAGGGTTCATTCCAAGTACAGGCAGTGATGGCCAATCTTGTAACAGTAAGTTTACCTAGGGGTTGAGGGGCGATTCCAAGTACAGGCGTGATGGCCACTCTTATAACAGTCAGTTTACCTGGAGGTTGATAGTCCATTCCAAGTACAAGAGTGATGGCCAATATCATAACAGTAAGTTTATATATGTGATATATTATCGCACGTACTTGGAATGGACGCTCCACCGCTATGCAAACTTCCGGCTATAAGATTGGCAATCGCACCTCTACTTGGAATGGACCATCAACCCCCAGGTAATCTTACTGTTATAAGATGGGCCGTCACTCCTGTAATTTGAATGGACCCTCAACTCACTGGTAAACTTACTGGTATAAGATGGGCCGTCACTCCTGTAATTTGAATGGACCCTCAACCCCCTGGTAGACTTACTGTTATAATACTGGCCATCACTCCTGAACTTGGAATGGACCCTTTCAATTCAAAGGTTGGAATAGTTCATTGTGAAACTTCAGGGGTGAATGAGTTAATATGCTACACTATTTAAGGATCCCTTCCAAGTACAGGAGAGATGGCCAATCTTATAAAAGTAAGTTTACCTGGTGGTGGAGGGTCCATTCCAAGTTCAGGAGTGATGGCCAATCCTATAACAGTAAGTTTACCCGGGGGATGAGGGACCATTCCAAGTACAGTAGTGATGGCCAATATGATAACAGTAAGTTTATATATGTGATATATTATCGCACGTACTTGGAATGGACTATCAACCTCCAGGTAAACTGACTGTTATAAGATTGGACATTACTCCTGTACTTGGATTGGACCCTCAACCCCTGGTAAACTTACTATTATAAGATTGGCAATCGCTCCTGTACTTGGAAGGGATCCTTAAATAGTGTAGCATATTAACTCATTCACCCCTGAAGTTTCACAATGAACTATTCCAACCTTTGAATTGAAAGGGTCCATTCCAAGTCCAGGAGTGACTGCCCATCTTCTAACAGTAAGTTTACGAGGGGGTTGAGGGTTCATTCCAAGTACAGGCAGTGATGGCCAATCTCCTAACACTAACTACATGAAACTCCCTCTTTGTGGACGGATAGTGATGATCACAGTAAGTTTACCTAGGGGTTGTGGGTCCATTCCAAGTCCAGGAGTGATGGCCCATCTTATAACAGTAAGTTTACCTAGGGGTTGAGGGGCGATTCCAAGTACAGGCAGTGATGGCCAATCTAAGTACATGAGTGACGGCCAATATTATAAAAATGAGTTTACCGGGGGGTTGAGGTTCTAATCCAAGTACTGGGGTGCGATAATATATCACATATATTCCAGAATCCGAGCATCTGGTACTTGGAATGGACCATCAACCCCCCGGTAAACCTTCTGTTTTAATATTGGCCATCACTACTGTACTTGGAATGGACGCTCCACCGCTATGCAAACTTCCGGCTATAAGATTGGCAATCGCACCTCTACTTGGAATGGACCCTTAACCCCCCGGTAAACCTTCTGTTTTAATATTGGCCATCACTCCGGTACTTGGAATGGACTATCAACCTCCAGGTAAACTGACTGTTATAAGAGTGGCCATCACGCCTGTACTTGGAATGGCCCCTCAACCCCCCGGAAAACTTACTGTTATATTGGCCATCACTCCTGTACTGGTAATGGACCCTCAACCCCCATGTAAACTTACTGTTAGAATATTGGCCATCACCCCTGTACTTGGAATGGGCCCTCAACCCCCAGGTAACCTTACTGTTATAATATGGGCCATCACTACTGTACTTGGAATGGCCCCTCAACCCCCCGGAAAACTTACTGTTATATTGGCCCTCACTCCTGTACTTGAAATGGAATGGACCCTCAACTCCCTGGTAAACTTACTATTATAAGATTGGCAATCACTCCTGCACTTGGAATGGACCATCAACCCCCAGGTAACCTTACTGTTATAATACTGGCCATCACTCCTGTACTGGTAATGGACCCTCAACCCCAGGTAAACTTACCGTTATAATATTGGCCGTCACTCATGTACTTGGAAGGGATCATTAAATAGTGTAGCATATTAACTCATTCACCCCTGAAGTTTCACAATGAACTATTCCAACCTTTGAATTGAAAGGGTCCATTCCAAGTACAAGAGTGATGGCCAATATGATAACAGTAAGTTTACGAGGGGGTTGAGGGTTCATTCCAAGTACAGGGGTGATGGCCAATATTCTAACAGTAAGTTTACGAGGGGGTTGAGGGTTCATTCCAAGTACAGGCAGTGATGGCCAATCTCCTAACACTAACTACATGAAACTCCCTCTTTGTGTACGGATAGCGATGATAATCTCCGGACTGTATGTTAGAAGGATAATACTTTTTTTCAAATTTTTGGGATTGTCTTAAATTTTGATTCCTTTAATGTTATATTAACAAGTATGGCATTAACATAAATACAAAATCATTTTTTTTTTTAACTTCTTGATATGGTGTAAAGGATCCTAAAGGTTCTCCTGCAGGTTATCAAGTACAGGAGTGACTGCCCATCTTCTAACAGTAAGTTTACCCGGGGGATGAGGGACCATTCCAAGTACAGGAAGTGATGGCCAATCTCCTAACACTAACTACATGTAAGTCCCTCTTTGTGTATGGATAGTGATGATCACAGTAAGTTTACCTGGTGGTGGAGGGTCCATTCCAATTACAGGAGTGATTGCCAATCTTATAGCCGGAAGTTTGCATAGCGGTGGAGCGTCCATTCCAAGTACCGGAGTGATGGCCAATCTCATAACACTAACTACATGTAACTCCCTCTTTGTGTACGGATAGTGATGATCATCTCCGGACTGTATGTTAGAAGGATAAGACTTTTTTCAAATTTTTGGGATTGTCTTAAATTTTGATTCCTTTAATGTTATATTAACAAGTATGGCATTAACATAAATACAAAATCATTTTTTTTTCAAACTACATGATATGGTGTAAAGGAATCCTAAAGGTTCACCTGCAGGTTATGGAAAATTCAAACAGAAAATACCCCACTTGATCCACTTTGTCATAAAATGACTTTGTTAGCAATTGATGATAAGTGATATTTGACCTTTGACCCTAGGAGGACCCACTGTTGTCTGACCTGCCCCCTCAAGTGACCTTAGAGGAGGTGAATTCCTGTGTGGCCCTGGAGTATGGACAAGCAATAGTAGTGAATGTACGACGGGCCGATGACGAGGTGATGGGTAAGATTGTAACTAGCAAGTGTGCTTTACTGACATCAAAATGTATTGATAATATATAAGTAATTGATAACAATTGCATTAACTCATTCACCCCTGAAGTTTCACAATGAACTATTCCAACCTTTGAATTGAAAGGGTTCAAATGTGTCTTAAGGGGTGAATGAGTTAATATGCTACACTATTTAAGGATCCCTGACCCACTGCACTAAATCAGGACTGTAATCTATGTCACTCGTATCTTTAGTCCGAATTATTCTGACGTTTTATCGACTTTTTTTATATCGGTCTGTCGTCAATTAACGTCGGAACTCCGGCCCTCTGTAATATGCGGGAAATAAGCGCCCCGCATCGGGTCGCACTTCAAACTGATATTTTAGAAACAAATCGTCACTTTCACACACATGTCGCACATGGATCGAAAGATCTATTCTTTATGCACCAGGTGGTATCAATAACATGTTTCAAAGATCATTACGAACAGTATTTTCCAACATTTTCTATACCAACCCATGTTTTTAATGGAAATTAGGGCATGAGCAATGTCACACGACTTGACGAGCTCTCGCTTTACCGAAGGTATTTCGCAACGTTATGACGTAGGCATGCGAGATTTTAGTCACGTGGCATTAGAAGGCAGGGTTATAAACAAACTAGAGTAAAACAGAGTAAGTTTGAAAAATATGTTTTTAGTGATTGTATTGGTTGTTTGAGGCATGTATTTTATGTTCATCTTGTGCATAAAGAATAGATCTTTCGATCCATGTGCGACATGTGTGAAAGTGACGATTTGTTTCTAAAATATCAGTTTGAGGTGCGACCCGGGTGCGGGTCGCTTATTTCCCGAATATTATAGAGGGCCGGAGTTCTGACGTCAATCGACGACAGACCGATATAAAAAAGTCGATAAAACGTCAGAATAATTCGGACTATCGTATCTTGTACGTCATCATACTGACTAAAATTTAGATCAGCATGCATGAAAGGTGACTGATGCTTTAATATATTAACTAATTATGTAAAAAATTGTCTGAGATTGAACTTTTTTGTTGTAGCGGTAGTAGTTACCCAGAATGCAACAGTGCTGGATTTAAAACATGCAATCAAGCGCTACATCACTCTGAGGCAGATGCGAAATGGAGGAAAGCTGCATATTAGCTGGTAGGTTGAATAAAGGGGTTTATACTATATATATACATATGTATATTGTAGCATACACTGTAGGTTGAATAGGTTATTCATTGTTTTATGTATACCGGATAGTTGTTATGTAGTTTGAATAAAAGTTTGTAGCATACATATATTATGTAGGCTGATTTACAGCTAATCGGTTTAATATCTGCTGGTATGTTGAATCAGCATTTATTTATAGTAATATTAATGTGAGGTATATTTCTGCTAAAAAGATAACTTAAAGTACTGTGAGTAGTTTAAAAGCAGGAATTTTTTAAAAATCAAAATGGGTACGTTGAATTATTTTGTAGCTGATAGTTGTACAAGGTTATTGGTTATCCAATATGAAAATCTTATCTCTACAAAACGAAGGATAAGCATTGATAATGAGATACAGTTCTGTATTTATATGTATGAATGCAATCAGATCCCAGATAAATTTTGAATTTCTGCATCAAGTTTGAATTTTATTCAGCTAGTAGATCCATCTAGTTTATAATATTCAGACTTTTAGGTTTAGTATTTTTTTTTCATATATATTCAGTATCCACTAATTAGATTGAATTATGATTTTGTTATTTATGGTTGTGTCCGACCTTCTCTTTACAGGAGATATATATGGAAGAGGTACTGGTTATACTTCAATTCTCAGAAACTTTCTGATGACAGAAAAACGTTGAAGCAGTAAGTCAGTTTAAATTGATATAGAAGTGGGTTTATAGCTGTCACAATTTAAAAAATATGTACACATCATGCTTGTCAGTAATCACACTACTTAATTTGAGTACCTTAATAATGATATTAAGAAGTTTTCAAATTGAGGAATTTGAGTTTTGTAAAGGTTTATTATGCTATTGTAAATATCATGATTTTCATTTTGTCTTAAAGACATCTTAAATTTGTTTTCCAGTTAATGTAAATTCTTTCATATCATTTGCCAGGTACGAGATTAGAAACAAGGACGAGGTAACGTTTATGAAGAGATTGAAAGACCATGGATGACAGCATTAATTGATTACCGTCAAATAATATATACTGAATGTAGGACTGACCCTACACAACAGCTCCAGACACTATTGGCCATTGAATCAGGACCAGTAAAGATCTTTACCATCAACAACTTGTCCCTGTTTCTCCAACTTGTGGCAGGTCTAAAGGTCTGTGTACAACATGGTGAGCATCTTGTCCAGCAAGAGTAGAGAACAAATATTCAAATACAAGATTAAAACAGTGTCCCATGTTGTAAAGTGGAAATAAAGTGTGGAAATTGCAGGTATCTAACAGAGCTATGAACACTGGAAGTATTCAATACATCTGTGGACAGTGAAGGTGCTCAACAGAAATGTGGACATTGGAGATGTATTCAATGTTACTATGGATACTTGAGCTGTTCAGTAGAGCTATGGGCATCAAAGTATTCAATAGAGGTGTACACTGGAAGTATTCAACAGAGATACTCATCAACGGTCAACATAATTGTGGACTTCGGAGATGTATTCAATGTAACTATGGATACTCGAGGTGTTCAGTAGAGCTATGGGCATCAAAGTATTCAATAGAGCTTGAGGTATTCAATGGAAGTATTCAACAGAGATTTGGACACTGGAGGTGTTCACTGGAGGTGTGGGCACTGAAGATATCCAACAGAGATGTGGACACTGGAGGTGTTCACTAGAGGTGTGGGCATGGAAGTATTCAATAGAGGTGTGGACACTGGAGGTGGTCACTAGAAGTGTGGGCATCGAAGTATTCAACAGAGATGTGGACACTGGAGGTGTTCATTAGAGCCTAGAGGTGTGGGCACTGAAGATATCCAACAGAGTACAATGGTACTGGACATGTTCAATTAAGATATGGACATTGTAGGTATTTAATAAAGACATGATCACATATTTACTGGATTCATTATGATTCAGCTCTGGATACTAGTGATTTTTTAGGATATATTTCAGGGGAGTCCTAGCATCATTTTCAAATTGTTGACAAGTCCCAGTACAAAGATATTTAAAATACACAGGATACTGGAGGGATTCAATGGATTTATGATGAGAGATTCACAATCTAGAGCTGTAGATACTGGAGGCGTTCACACTAATTATACCCGTTACTGTATTTATAGCTGTATGGTATTGTAGATCTTATGTAGGAACAATAATGTATAGAATTCACTTCGTATGAATTGCAAATGTAGATCTGCGACACCTTTTCATCTTTATAGTAAAGATTATGTGACACAGATCTAGACTACATGTACTTATTGGCTCATCTCAGTTACATTTGTACAAAGTCAAGAGGTGTACTGTTATAAGAGTATGAGCAGTCCATTACAGGTAACTGGCTAAATGAATTTCACTGGCAGTGTGAAGGGTAGCATCAATGACTACAACCTAGATAGTTCCGGGGCAGGCACGTTCTAGTTTGTAAAACATTTTATTTTAGAATTTTGAGGGAGATCTGGTCCATATCCTGTATGATTCAAGAGATTTAAGTTAATTTTCTCTATGCACACTCTTCACAAAAGAACTAAATGTAAATGGAATGAAAACCATCTTTTAGATGTGTAATTCATAATTTGTTGAAAGTTACAAGCTTCCATATGAAAGCACAATCAGAATGCATGGTGGCTGGATTAACAAGGATAGATAGTGGCACACTCAGATACATGGTGCCATATATTATGTTATTATTTTTTCATATTATTCCCAAACAAGTGATTGGTTAGAAGTGCATCACGTGTCCACCGATAAAAACTGATATTGACTTGGAGCTCATGATTTTTGTTGAAGGACTGGATGTTTCTATAAATAGAATTATGACGTGTCTCCAAAACAATGCACCGTCCCACTTCCAAAGCTTTTTCTGTTGTGTTTTTTTTTACAGATTGCTTACATTACTGTTTTGTAAAATAATAAAATAATTGTGCCTTTAACTTCGGTCAATACCTGGATTTATCAACCTCAGCCAAAGGCTATAATTGAATAATAGCTGGCTAGAAGGTGGCATAATTAGATAAGTGGTGCCATATATTATGATGTCAGGCTAGATAGTGACACTATCAGATAAGTGGTGCCATATATTATGATGTCAGGCTAGATAGTGTCACTATCAGATAAGTGGTGCCATATATTAGGATGACCAGCTAGATAGTGTCACTATCAGATAAGTGGTGCCATATATTATGATGACCAGCTAGATAGTGTCACTATCAGATAAGTGTTCCATATATTATGATGTCAGGCTAGATAGTGTCACTATCAGATAAGTGGTGCCAAATATTATGATGACCAGCTAGATAGTGTCACTATCAGATAAGTGGTGCCATATATTATGATGACCAGCTAGATAGTGTCACTATCAGATAAGTGGTGCCATATATTATGATGACCAGCTAGATAGTGTCACTATCAGATAAGTGGTGCCATATATTATGATGACCAGCTAGATAGTGTCACTATCAGATAAGTGGTGCCATATATTATGATGACCAGCTAGATAGTGTCACTATCAGATAAGTGGTGCCATATATTATGATGACCAGCTAGATAGTGTCACTATCAGATAAGTGGTGCCATATATTATGATGACCAGCTAGATAGTGTCACTATCAGATAAGTGGTGCCATATATTATGATGACCAGCTAGATAGTGTCACTATCAGATAAGTGGTGCCATATATTATGATGACCAGCTAGATAGTGTCACTATCAGATAAGTGGTGCCATATATTATGATGACCAGCTAGATAGTGTCACTATCAGATAAGTGGTGCCATATATTATGATGACCAGCTAGATAGTGTCACTATCAGATAAGTGGTGCCATATATTATGATGACCAGCTAGATAGTGTCACTATCAGATAAGTGGTGCCATATATTATGATGACCAGCTAGATAGTGTCACTATCAGATAAGTGGTGCCATATATTATGATGACCAGCTAGATAGTGTCACTATCAGATAAGTGGTGCCATATATTATGATGACCAGCTAGATAGTGTCACTATCAGATAAGTGGTGCCATATATTATGATGACCAGCTAGATAGTGTCACTATCAGATAAGTGGTGCCATATATTATGATGTCAGGCTAGAAAGTGGCACTATCAGATAAGTGGTGCCATATATTATGATGTCGGACTAGATAGTGGCACTATCAGATATGTGGTGACATATATTATGATGTCAGGCTAGATAGTGGCACTATCAGATAAGTGGTGCCATATATTAGGATGACCAGCTAGATAGTGGCACTATCAGATAAGTGGTGCCATATATTATGATGTCAGGCTAGATAGTGTCACTATCAGATAAGTGGTGCCATATATTATGTCAGGCTAGATAGTGGTACTATCAGATATGTGGTGACATATTATGATGTCAGGCTAGATAGTGTCACTATCAGATAAGTGGTGCCATATATTATGATGTCAGGTTAGATAGTGGAACTATCATATAATTGGTGCCATATATTATGATGTCAGGCTAGATAGTGTCACTATCAGATAAGTGGTGCCATTTATTATGTCAGGCTAGAAAGTGGCACTATCAGATAAGTGGTGCCATATATTATGATGTCAGGCTAGATTGTGGCACTATCATATAATTGGTGCCATATATTATGATGTCAGGCTAGAAAGTGGCACTATCAGATAAGTGGTGCCATATATTATGATGTCAGGTTAGATAGTGGAACTATCATATAATTGGTGCCATATATTATGATGTCAGGCTAGATAGTGGCACTATCAGATAAGTGGTGCCATATATTATGATGTCAGGCTAGATAGTGGTACTATCATATAATTATATAAGTGGTGCCATATATTATGATGTCATGTTAGATAGTGGCACTATCGGATAATTATATAAGTGGTGTCATATATTATGATGTCAGGCTAGATAGTGGCACTAACATACAATTATATAAGTGGTGCCATATATTATGATGTCATGTTAGATAGTGGCACTATCGGATGATTATATAAGTGGTGCCATATATTATGATGTCATGTTAGATAGTGGCACTATCGGATGATTATATAAGTGGTGCCATATATTATGATGTCATGTTAGATAGTGGCACTATCGGATGATTATATAAGTGGTGCCATATATTATGATGTCAGGCCAGATAGTGTCACTATCATACAATTGGTGCCATATATAATGACGACAGGCTAGAAAGTGGCACTATCATATAATTATATAAGTGGTGCCATATATTATGACGACAGGCTAGATAGTGGCACTATCATATAATTATATAAGTGCTGCCATATATTATGACGACACACTAGAAAGTGTCACTATCATATAAATATATAAGTGGTGCCATATATTAGGATGTCAGGCTAGATAATGGCACAATCAGATAATTGGGACATGGCTGGATTAATGAGGTTGGATAGTGGGACAACCAGATTAGCAGTGGTGCAGTGACTGGATTTTTACAAGGTTAGTTCTGGTAGCACTATTGAATTGGTGGTGGCTGGATTATAAAGTGGATGTATATACATGTATATAGTAGCTCATTCAGATCAGTGGTGGGATAAACTCCACACGTGTTAACAGTGATAAACCAAACTTTAATACAAAAAAACAACTGGAATCTACAGATTATTTGTTTACAACATTTAATTTGAATAAATTATATACAAACATAATGTTTGGGTAAAACACAATTTTAACAATGTCTCGGTTTTCACCCTCACGGTCCTTCCTCCGACATCCTTCTAATATAAAGCATAAAACATCAACGTCTCCATGTACTACATACATACTGTATCGGGTTAGTACCATCAGTAACCGACACATTCGTGGCTAGTTATCACAAATGTGCTGCCTGCTGGAATACAGGATGTTTGTCTTCATAAATACCTACTCATCATCAATGACAAGTACAAAAGTATAATTAGTAGTCTGGGGGAAAATTTTAATCCTAAAACACAACATGATAACTTGTTCGTCAAATGAAATAGCACTAAAGTAACATGTTGTTAAAATATAAAACTTCCTCTATCTATAAAACAACTCCCTATTACTTCCTTATCATGTTATAATTGGAGAAAATACATTATTCTCCACCATAATTCTGAAGTAAACTTGTAGTGTTGTGTTTGTGACTATTACCGTAGTGAGCCCATAAGTCTGTACTCCTACTTCAAATATCATTAGAGTATTGTCCCCTGGTTCGCAGCTAGTCAAGTGATCTGATAACTCCCATGAAAATTGTTCTACAAAACTAGAAACCTAATATTCCTTGAAGAGAAATGCTGTATCTTGATCGGATGGACATTTCGGTCTGAAATTGAGCACATCTAGAAGACCTCAAGACATCCTACTTTAAGGAAAATATCACAAAGAACACTCTCCTATTCCTTCTAGCTATCAATGCAGACCTTGAATCTTGTCATCAGATAAGTGTCATGTTATATCAGTGTATGACACCCTGCGCGTGAACTTGTTTATCATAACAGACAGCACACATGTATCGAAATTTCATTTTGGTTCACTCAGATCATCACTGGAGACATTCTCATACTGCTGTAGGGTAAAAAAACCAGAAACAAAAAGGCACTATAACTGCCAGTTGTTCCTGTTCCAGTTTTCTGATTGCACTTGTTTTTCTAGCACTTGAGATTTCATGTTCCATGGACCGTTATCCTATATAATCCATTATAGGAGCATGGTTTCTGGTCGCTCCATGAACTTCCTGAATTCTGCGAGCCATTGGGCACCGACAGCTCCATCTACGACCCGATGATCACAGCTGAGAGTTACAGACATCATGTTGGCCTGGCCATATCTGTGAATAGAAATGCATTTGACATATAATATTATTGTGCTGTAACTTTTAGGGGTAGGTATACGTAAATACTGTAGTGTTACAGAAGCAAAGTAACAGTGTTAGAAGCACACAGACTGCTAGAAAGATCACAGTCTATTTCCTGTAAACATTCTTATTCAAACTTGTTAATACAGGTAGGTACGCCCATGTCAAGTTTTATGGAAATCTGTCGGGAAATATTGCTGCTGGAGTGATGACCAGGAGAAGGACATGACAAAAAGATCATAACCCCTGATTTGTGTAATGGAGTAACAATTAATAAATACACTGCGATGGATTCCAAAAGTTTTACAAAATTTAGAGTAAAGTTATAATGACCAACTTGGGACCCAACTTTCAATGGGCCTAGTCTATTATAGCCTGTATCATCTAGACCTTAAAAGCAATTCTGATGATTCTGCTAACGTAGCCAGTAGGAAAGTGCTTTTATTTTTGAACAATTTTTACGAAGATTATATAGTATTTAGAAACTCAGTTTTATATTCATTCCTTCAAAATATCAAAAAAACTTCAGGGCCAACACAACAAAAAATGGTTTGTCAGGTTAGCATTCTAAGAATGGAGATTGTAAGAAATTATGCAAGAAAACATTCTCCCCAAATAGTTTATGAATTTGTACCAAGCCTATAGATTAACTGCCGATGTGATCTACTGACCCTTGATTGCTGTCTTCATCCACGACCAGCCTCTTTTCTGCCCCACCCACCGCTAGGATACATGCCTGTAAAGAAAACAGAAATGCTTACACCTCTCTTGTTACGTATGTACCATACTTTCAAACAACATACATATTGCATACATAAATCAATGTAAACTTGACATGCATTTTGAAATAAACTGTAAAAGTTAACATCTTCATGTATTTTCTCCACTTGATCACACAAAATTCCTGATGGCAGTCAAATCACAGACTGGAGTAGAAAATTATTCCTCTTCAAATTTATTAGAACTTGTACCAATATGCTTATCAAAACAAAAGAATTGGACAGGATTACTTACCTGTGGAGGGTTGATTACAGCAGAGAATGACTTTATCCCGTACATGCCAAGGTTTGAAATAGTGAAGGTTCCTCCCTGAAGCAAAATGACAACACCATGACCTCTGTGATTAATTTTTATGTCATTTTCCCTCTGTACATAAACCCTTTTCAGATTTTCCTATCTCTTAAAATGTTGCTGTTTTTATTAATTTGTTTAATGTACACAATCTCTATTAAATCTCTAGAGAATGTTTAAACAATATTTGTTTTATTATCAAACAAGCAATGCAACAATATATACAAATGAATGCCATATTTATCTTGGTACCAATCACTTAAAAGTTTGGAGTATTTTACAAACAAGAGGCCCATAGGCCTAAACGGTCACCTGGGTAAATTCTGAAGTACTCAAATTGTAGCATTTATTAATCGGCACATAGTTACTCTGGAGAGATGACATACACCCATACTAACATGGAGACCAGGCATACACATGCTGTATACATAAATTAGATGATATGTTTAAAGGTTTATGTACAGATGAAGTTGTAAATGTCCTAGCCAATCACAGGCCAGGGTGGTCATCTGGAATTTTACAATCAGCATGAAAAATAACAAACTTGGTTGAAACCTCATATGGAACACTTCTATAAGTTAGAAGTCAATCGGTATAGACTTTTTTGAGGAGAACAAGAAGATTAGGTAAAAAACACCTCTGTCAAGTGTCAATTAGAGATCAGGATGACCAACTAGGATTTTCTGATCGACACAAAAAGTAAAAAAAACTTGTTTGGAACCTCATAAGGAACATTTGTACAAATAAGGAAGAGAATTGCTGCAGAAATCTTGCAAAGTCGAAAACTTCTCGTCTCAGCAAATCAGAGACTAGGATCGACCATGCATATTCTCTGACTGGTGGTCACTGGTAGTACAGTCTGATCAGGCCTATTTGCGAATTTGTCTGAGATCTTATTGAAAAAAAGCAGCTTCGCAAATTTCATTGAAATCAATTCACATTTACTCAAATTATTGTGCTCACAAGCTCAAGTCCCATAGGCTCCAATAGCAATTAAAACTTCAAAGACCCATAACTCAGTCAGTAACTGTCTGATCAGGACCATTTTCGAACTTGTTTGAGATCTTATTGATCAATATAAAGCATGTTGGATTTTTTTTTATTGAAATCCATTAAAGTCAACGCACGACCCACAATGACAGATAAAGACGGAGTGCAATAGGTCACCATGACCTATGGTCAGGTGACCTAAAAATTCAGACCTTCATATCATGGTTCTTATATATCATTGTTGATGTTAAAGGGCCTGTTTCCAGTAATGTTAAATCTCCATAGGAGCCTGCCCCCGTATAATTTCTTATCTAGCTCAACTACTGTTTTTTCCTTTTCCGAAGAATAATTTTACACCTTTCCGACACCCAGATTTCATAATTTCAGTGAAAATGTATTTTTATAAAGTTGTCAATTTCAGCATCAAAGACATAAGTTCGTAAATAAAAGA